TCTTCACTTCCTTGCATCCCCCAGCAAATAGTCTCCTTGGGCTCAGCCTAACTTAGGCTGTCATAATTTTGTACTGTCAAAAAGATCTCTTAGAAATAGCCACCTATCCATTCAATGTGGGCAAAAACAAATCAAATGAAACAAACACAAAAGGCAGATTTCAGTTCTGTATGCAGAGCTCCTCAGGAGAGGGCAGTTAATAAAAACCAAACTACTTGAGATGGATTTGGATATTTATTTTTTAAAGCTTGCTTAGACACAGTAGAATCAAAGTTTCTCTGTGCCTCTGTGGGCAATATCTTATTAATTGTCCGGAGGAATTCTCTGGAAAAATGTCCGTTGATTTGAACCCCTATTATTTTTATTTAATTTCCAGAGGTGCTCTGATGTTCTCTGGAAAACAAACCCTTATGATTAATACCCCCAGCAATGTCCAGTCAGTAAAGATTCTGGGACTATATGTGATTTTCTCCTTGTTCTCAAGGTCTACTTAATCTCTCCCCTCTCCACCTCTAACAAGAAATGATAATTCATTGTACCAGGTAAGAGAGGAGAAAGCAAGATTATTAAAAATGATAAAATAGTAACTTTCTGAAAAGCAAGTGAGGTGGGATAGGTTTTCCTTTCCTTTCCTGGGGACTACCCACTATGGAGGTAAGACAACAGCAGAGGCACTTTGCAAACAGAACTCGAGGCTGGGAGGGACTCTTTTAGAATAACAAGGTAAAGGACATATGCTAACTGGAGGTGAATTTTCCCAGTAATAAAAGCATGATTAAATTTTAGAGATTTCCCTCTGAGGCCAGAATTGCCTGGGAGTAGGTTAAAACAGTAAGCAGGTAACTTGAAAACTGGTTTTCCAGCTTCCTGTCTGGCTCTCAATATACAATTCTATGTAAGAAGGATTCTGTGAGCCCACTGCTGGTGATGAGTACTGTCGACAGAAAGTCATTCTCATCCTTCTAATGTAATGAGCCATTGAGATGGAGATTGTACTACCTGAAAGAAAAAGTAGAGCAATTGGTAGCAACACTCTAGCAAGGGCTTACTATATGCTAGGCACTATACACATCATTCCATTTAATTTTCTGAATAAACTTGAAATGTAGACTTAGAAAGGTAAAGAGATTTGTATAAAGTCTCTCAGTCAGTGAATAGATGATCTGAGATTCAACTCCAAATCTGTTTGACATCAAAACTGAGGCTCTGGCACTACATTACATTAGTGTGAAATGTTTGCCAAATGTTTAGTCCTGATCTTGGGAAATGGGAAATGAAGAACTGTTGGAGCTTTTTAATTCACATGCAGGCAATTTTTTGCTGCTTACAGAAGCTATGCTCTAAAAAGTTATCATGAACACTGAATTAGTGAATACTACTTAGGAACCACTGCTCCTGCAGAAAACAAAGGGTTAAGTTCCTACAAGATGCTGATCACATTATTTTTCCTGCCAATCAGTGCATAACTTTGCTTTATGTGTGTTTTTGTTTAAAGGAACCTTATTTAATGCAAGCTGTTGATTCATTAACATTGAACTCATGGTCAACACCACTATAATTCATGCCTTAACATAGCTTATCTAATGCACATATTTTCTTCATAAAGCGCATCACAGCCTTCTTGCACTTAGGAATACCAGACATTTCGGGGCCATTTAGAACAGCAAAATCATCAATTAAAAAAACACGAAAATGCAAAAATTTGACGCTAAAGAGATGACAAAAATGACATTTCTTTATAGTCTGGAAGCTGAAACATTGAAGGCATAGTGTCACCTTGTTTAATCCCAACTGAGAGCACGAGTGTTGGGTGGCTCAAATTTTTTGTCATTCTGTGCATGCCTGTGAATAATTTGAAAAAGTTCTGAGTACTCATTTTAGAATTACAAATACATTTTCCTGAGTAGGTAAATTTGTAATTACAGAGTCTATAATATAAATAATGAGGTTTGATGGCTTCCTGACATAGTTATTAAGCTAGTTTTTTTTTGGGGGGGGGATCCCACATTTTAGAGGAAAAATGAAACATTGCTCTTTCAGCCTAAATATTTGAATGCAAAAACTAGATAATTGCTAAATAAATTCTTTAAGGTTTTGCTCGTTTAAATTATCTAGATTCAAATAATACAGCTTTGGTTTATGGCGTTGCTCCACATAGAAGAGGGTTTTTACCAAGAGCATTTACCTTTGAAGTTTAAAAATTTTCCTTTTAATTAAGTTCTTACTGAAATTTTTGCCTCGCTAGAGAAGAGTTCATTAAACAAACAATTCTATTAGCTCATTATTTAATTTAATTTTTCATTTTTTATCACTTCTTCCAAATGACCTAGATACGTGTTCTGCCCATTTCTGTCAAGAGCAAAATCACCAGCCATGCCAACTCTCTCCAAACCTTGGGTGGAACACAGATCTTCGAAATCTCATGGAGACCAGCAGACCTAATCTTTTCTAATAATAGAGAATGTAGAAATTAAGTGCAGAATATTCAGTTAACTACCTAGGTAACACACACAGTCACTTTCAGAAAACTCTATGAAATATGGAAATCAAGATGCTGAAAACCCAGAAAAGGTATTTATTAAATTTTTTCTTCTCCATATTTTGTCTTTATAACTAGTGACTAGTACTTGACCGATAATGGTGAAGCAACTGTGGAGGAGGATTTTTTTTTTTTTTCTTTCAGAAAGGCTTGCCTTTCTTCTTCTGACTCACGTGGTGGAGGAACATGATATTATTTCTACCTTAAGGCTAATAACAATGTTTTGATACAACATTCAAGGTTTTCCGTGATTTGGACCCAGTTTTTCTTCCACTCTTATCTTCCACCGATGCCTCATTCAGAATCTCTTTGCCAGCCAAGTGGGTATTTGATATAGATAAAGAATAAGGCATGAACCAAAACCTTTAGGAGTTTAGGGTTTAGTTAAGAAAATAAGACTAACATCCATAAAAATGAATGATGTAATAGGGTTATGTAATGAAGGTTCATTAATATGGCATAGACTGCAGAGTTTATATGAATTTGACAGAGAGAATGGATTAGTCAGAGAAAGCACTGCGAGCTCAAAATGGTTCTTGAAGAATGGGGAGAATTTCCACAGATCTGGGGGAAGGAGTGGGTTAGAGGAGAAGAGGAGAGGAGGATGCATCTAGGTGAGGAAAATCAAAACAGTGAATTTTGCAAATAGGAATGTACGTGGTGTTGGTGAAACCATAAACAAACCAAACATGAATGGCAAAGGCAGTTCATGTTGAAGAGTAGGAAGAGACATATTGGGAGACACAGAAAGGAAGTGGATTGAGGCAGGCAACGTAAAAATAGGTAGAAGCACTGAAATTTGGCGGAGTGTAAAATAACCATTGAAAGCTTTTCAGAAAACATGCAGATAAACCATCTGTCACTAAACTACAGATGACTGAAATATACATCTCCTGGTTTGTTTTTTTATTATGCATATCGGGGTTTCTGTTCTGCATTAATCCAGCTTTCAACAAATCTTTACTGAACACCTATTATATACTGGACAGTATGGAAAGTGATAGTGCTACAGGGCGGACATGATCAAAATGGTTTCTATACTCCTCGAACTTATATTCCAGAAGTATTCATTTTCATTATGTTTCTGTCCTTTGGCCCAGATAACTATATCTCAGATGGAAAAGTTTTCAGTAAAAGTGATACCTTCACCCTTTTGGGTTTGTAAGTTTCTTTTGTTTAACTTATACTTCCGGGAAGTTGATACTTGAAGCACTATAATCCCGGAGAAGCTTTCTTTCTCTGATCCCTCCAAATTGGTCAGAGCCTCTCAGCAGTGTCCTTGACACTCCGTGTTTCTCCCTATTTCTAGATAGCATTTAGAAATAGCATAGTCTTGTGATGTCCACTTTCTTGGCGTCTGCTATGTACTCCAACTAACTCCTAGGCACTCTGCAGCAGGATGTCCCAACATCTCCACAGCACCACTGAAGGTGATCGATAAATGTTGGTTAAATTAAATTAATGAATGGAGGGGATGGATATGACATTTCTTTTCCTGAATGTTTTTCTCTATAGCAAGTTTTTGGGAGAGAAAAATAGGTCTAAAGTAAGAGAGAAAAATAAATTCCTTCTTTATCTTTATATATGTGATAACATTTTTGAAATGTAACTGCGCTTGGCTTTTCTTGTAAGGCTAATTGGAATGTGGTAACAGAGCTGGATATTTTGTTTTAAGGTGATTTAAAAATGACGGATCCCATACATTTTTTTCATTTCCTTAACAGCTGCAATGTTAGCCTACTCCATAAATCACAACAGTTGGTTCTATCTTAATGCCATAGGTATTTCAGTAATATAGACTGTTCAATAAATTATCGGGTAGTTATTAGTAAGAACGAGGCAAATTTGACTTAACATCTTAATTTGACTTAGGCATCTTTTTGGAACCTTCCTGCTCTGAGGTTTGGATGAAAAACACTTTGGATATCACCGTGAGACTTGCTACTTCCGATTCATTGTCTAGTATTCTCCTTGGCAGCTTTGCAAAACAAATCTTGGAAAGCGCCTAGAGAAAGACATTCTTTTTAGAAAACTTGGAGTCTTTTGAATTCACACTGGATGCCAATGGCAGTGAATGAAAATGTTTGTCTTGTTTGTATATTTGCCTACTACTTTGTTCATTCACTCATTCTGTTATTCATTTTTCAACGGTTTATTTATTCAATTCTCAAAAATTAGCAAATATCCTAGATTTCAAAGCATCCTTGTACCCTATGGTTACGGGAATGTGTCGGCCAAACTCTAGGTGGCGCTCCGCATCGAACTTGGGAGGCAGGGGAAGGAGGGCGGCAGTGGAGCTCTCAGGATGGCGTCAGAGCTACAGAACACCCAGGCTGATCCCGAGAAGAGGGAGGGAGCTTCCCGTGTGGGGGTGGAGGGTGGGGCAGAGCAGGATGTGTGCTTGGGTTTCACTTGGAAAAAAACATACATCATATTGCAATATAATTTGCTTTCAGATTTCAATTTGGAAAATGGCATGGAAATACCCAGCTTGAACATCATCCTCCTCACCTCCTGGACTCGGTCGAGGGCCCCTTGTATTTCTCCACGGCAATTGTGTCACAGTTGTAACTGTTAAAGTATTTGTTTAATATCCTCCCTCTTTGGACTGTAAATTTCACAAGGCAGAGACCTGGCTGCATGGCTCAGCTATTTGCCTGGTGCCTATCACAACACCTAGCAAGTCATAGACGGTCAATAAATATTTGTTTTGTTTGCTTATTTGGTTGCTGCTTGATTCATTTGCTTCACTGGGTTATTTATATTTTCATTCCTTTCTCTCCACCCTTCCCTTCCCCCTCCACCCTACGCTTATCTTCCATCCCCTCACTCTATCTCTCCCAGTCCTTCCATCCCTCTCGTTTACCCCATTCCCGACTCAGTCCCACCCTCATTTATCATAAGTTTTAAAAGTTAAGATACCTACAGGGGCCAGGGTGGGCTGGGATGGGGACTAAATGTGTGAAAGCAATCTTTAAATAGTCAGATTCTCAAAATCCAGAGAAAGGGTATTAAAAGGTAAGAAAGAGGCAGTTTTGCCAATTCAAAAGGGAAAGCGTGAGCCCCTCAGCAGTCATTTCCCCATGCACTGTGAGTTTCCTAAGCAGGTGCAGCACCTCCTGGGTTTTGGCAACTGGACACAGAAGACCAGCAGAATCGTTTCCTCTGAATGGTCTGGACTGGGGACAATTGGCTGGAATCACAAGTGGCTTCTTTGCTCACTCTAGCGGTACTTCAGCTTTCATAAACAGCCGGTTCCTGGAGCTGTAAGGTTCCAGCACATCGGGGATTTCCCTTTGTTAGATCCTGACCCGCAGGGCTGTGTCCCAAGCCAAAACTGTTGTGTTCACCTCTTAAAAGGCTTTCAAAGAAAGGAGGGAGGAAGGGAAACAAGGAAGGAAGGAAGCGAGGAAGGGAGTGAGAGAGGGAAAAAGAAGGAAGGAAGGAAGGAAAGAAGGAAGGAAGGGAAGGAAGGAAAAACTTTGGAAAATATCAGTTGTTATTCCCGGACATCTAACTTCCATTTTTAAAAACACATTTTGAAGTTGATGTGAATCGAAAACAATGTTACTGTGATATTGGCAGTCAGCTCTCGGCTGAAATGATGTGAGTGGAAAGACAAGAGTTTGGAAGAATGCTTCCCCCCAAATTCTTACATTGTTACCAACCACAGAAACAAAACATAGTGCTGGAAAGGAATTTCAAGTCATAGATGCCAAACCCCTCACTGTGTAGATAAAAATAATGGGGCTGTGAGGTGAGTGACTTGCTCAAAGCCACTCAATTCAGGAGTTAGAGCCAAAACTCATGACTTCTGGCCAATTCTGGGTCCTTGCCCCTCCACAGGCTGCAGTTTTCTGTTTCAGCCAAAATGAGTTTCAAACAGCCCATCCACCAAAATGTATTTCCTCAACTCTCACTCTCTTGTATAAAACCTTACAGGAGACTCAATTTCTAACGTTAAAGGAAAAATATTGCATCTTTTAAAAAATGGTCAAAAGGAAAGGAAACTTGTAGGCGTATAAATGCCAAATCACCCTGTAAACAGGAACCCATCATTATTGTGTGGGTAAGAAATAAATAATTAAAGAAACCAATTCCAGTTAATTCCACATGTAGTGTGTGCCTTTGAAAAGAGTCCAGAATATTTTCCAAACATTCTCACATACACTGTACACATCTGTCCTATGTAACCTAAAAATGATTTACCCTTGTGAAATCATTTGCACAAACCTGCCAACGTTATGAATGATTTTGTTTGTCTACTGTCTCAAAATAATTGATCTTACATACATTAAGCTAATTAAAATAGCCAGTCCCTTTCTTTGCAGAAAATCTACAACTCCTCTTTCAATTATGCTTCTGAGGTCAGAAAAGCAATTCTTATGGAAGAGTCTAGAATTTGCTTCAATCTACTAAGATAAAACATAAGAATGTATTTTTAATGCATTGATAAAAAATCACCAAAATATTTGATATTTTTAGTCAGTCTCCAACTTGCTAAAGGGTCATATTCCAAAAGTTAGTGGATAAATGGGTTGTCTGGAATTTGGAGTGTATTTTCCCATAAAAACAATGTTACCCATAGGACTTAGTTCCCAGGCCACCCTTTAAGTGCTGTTTAACCCATAGTGTAGCAGCCTACTGTGCACTTCAAAACTATGGTTTTAATTTTGCTATTATTAATTAACTGGCTCAAAAGTGACTGATTGATTTAGAGGTTGTTTTAGATGCTGACATAAGGAAAACCAGTTTCAATTATAGATACTTGAGATAGTAGTTGGAGACTTTTATGTCATTTCTGTAGAAGGCTTTTAGGTACTTTGGAAACTCTAAAAATAGATGATACTTAATTTCATCTGCTTACTTATGACTAAAAGGGGAATCAGAGAGAAAATCCCCTGGCTCCTGTTCAACTTCTGCCACCATCAGGAAAACAAGACAAGAAATGAGAAAAAAGGAAAAGAGCAAAGAAGTAAAAATTGTGTGCATGTATGTGCATGCAGAGATTACCTAAGCAGTGAGCAATGAGGAAATGAGGAAACTGAGGCACACACAAGAAAGTAGATAGGAAGAGACATTGGTCTGAGACTTCTCTGTGTTCTTCACAAAGTGGTAGTGATGACTTCTAGAAAGTTCAGAAAAGAAAAGAAGAGTGTGAGAGGGTACTCTGTGAACTTATGTTTAAGGTGTTACTCAGGGACAAGACTTACCTGATCTAAGACCTGGACTCTCAGTTTGTATCCATACGCGTCTATGGAAAACCTACAGTGTTTCGAGAGCTGGATATAGGACTAACTGCAAAAATTATCTGGTAATCACCCTTTACCTTGCAGAGATAATAATAGCTAGCATTTATGACTCATCATAACTAATTTAATTTTCACAATGACTCTGAGAAATAGGTACTAGTGTTATTATGATTATCCCATTGTGTAGTTGAGAACTAAGACACAGCAAGGATAAGTAATTTGTCCAAAGTCACATGGCTAGTAAGTGTTGGGGCTACCATGTGAACCCAGGTAGTGTGGGGATAGACCTTACGCTCACAACCCCCATGCTATACTCTGCCCTAACACTCTCTGGTCAACATTCTTATCTCTTGTCAGCAATCGCTCGTACCCTGACTCCATTTGGGATTTGGAATGCACTCAGGGAAGTGGCTGCGCATGGAGACTGGAAATGGAAGAGGCATTCAAGGTCATCTCAGGCTCCCTTCAAATTCTACGGCTACTGTGAAGAGAGTCGCATTCCCACAGAGAACACGTCAGCCTGGAGGAAAATTATGACAAAAGGTCTCCCCGAAGGCCTCTGAAACTTGGGTCTTATCTCATTCCACAAGCCAAAGGCCAGTTTCCTAAATCAAAGAATGAAACAAAGTACATCTTTTTCAAGCATTGTTTTGACATCACTCCCTTTTGTACAACTGGACAGGCACTCCCATTGTCTCTAAATAATTTTTAAACACTCCTGAACTTTGGCTTGGAGACCCTCATTTGAAATGATTTTACCACTCTAGACATACTAGCTCATATTTTTTAACTTCAACCTGGCAAAAGTTAATATCCCTCATAAAACTCTACCCACTCTCTTCTCTAAGTATCACATAAACCATTCTTCCTGATTATACATGCCCCATCTCGAGCCATATCCATTACTCTGTCAACTTTCCATGGAGGTTAATCTGCTAGTGAGAATTTAAGTGAACTCCTGGGGTGGAGTATTCCACAGTGGATGGAACTTGGATTTTGAAGTCAGCCAGTTCTGGTTCAAATCCCAGTTATTCCATTTACTAGCTGTGTCATGTTGGGCAAGCTATTTAACTTGTTTCCTCACCTAGAATATAAATACAATATTAATAGTTCCGTTTCCTCACCTAGAATATAAATACAATTCTTAAATGCTTGTTTCCTCACCTAAGATATAAATACAATAAATCCTTGTTTCTTCACCTGGAATATAAATACAATATTAATAGTACTGAGGTAACAGTTGTTCTGAGAATTAAATAAGATATTGCATGTAAAGAACTTAGTTCAAAGTAAACACATTATAAAATTCAACAAATGTTAGTCCACATGATTAAAAATCTTTTAGAGCATAAAATAATCAGAGATATGTTCAAAGATGGTTGCAAAAGAGATGTTCATGTACCATTTTTATAAGAGTAAAAAGTTAGAAACAACTTATGCCCAACCATGGTTGACTATGTAGCCAATTAAAAGTCATGTTCTGAATGTTGGAAAATATCAAGATTCTATTAGTGAGTATTTAAAAAAACATAAAACCTGCAGAGTATCATATTTGGGAGGGTAAGTATATGCATAGAAAAGAGATGGGAAGAACCTACATCAAAAAGTAGATTATAATTACCTCAACAAAGAAAAGGTATATGGAGTGCAGATGAGTACTGGGTTTCTAAAGATTTTTTAAATGTTTTGTATTTTTCTGTGCATCCTAAATTTTGTACCTTTTGAAATTAGGAAAATTACATACTGTTGAAAAATACTGGATAAAGTTTAGCCTTCTCAGATGATCTCTTTCTGGCTCCAATTAATTCAGACCTCCAGCTTATCCGCTTCCTTTATTTCCTTTTTCACTCTCAACAGATTTATGTTTCCTCTGCACAGCTGCAGTTGGTTTCAAATATTTGGCAGAGACTGCATGTGGTGTTTAGATATATTTATGTGGGTTCTCTCTCCCTCGTCAGACTGCATTTCCACAAGAGTATCTTCCCTATATTTTCTCTGTGATTGTACACAGTGACTTGGAAGCTCTTTGTTTCAAAAGTTAACTGATTGAGGTCATTGTAAACAATGCAAGAAGAAAAACTTGCTTAACTTGTTTCATTGTTAACATTAATGGGGAGCTAAGGCTCAAATGTTAAGAATGGAAGGGCTTATAGACTGGTTGAGAATTAGGCCTTGTGCCTGAGACAATGCTTTACGTTTATGCAGCTATTTCATTTTCTCCTGGAATATAGAAATAACAAGGACCCTTGCACTGAGGAAGGATTACATGACTGGTTCTGACAACCGAAATGGAAGCAAATGTGGTATGCACCACTTCCAGACCCCAAATCATTTTGTGTATTCCTCTACCAATTCTTCCTTCCACTGCTGTCTGCTGGCTGGATAGTGCCAAGGTGACCTTGAAGCCATAATACGGTAGAGCCACAAGATGGAAAGAACCTGGGTCCCTGAGTTTCTGCTTATAGGGGAACCACTCAAGAGAATTATCTGAACAGAAACATCTGAAATGAACAGGGTCAGTGAGAAAGATAAGACTCTTATTACATAAAGGCATTGAGATTTGAAGGTTATCTATACTTGCAGTAACCGTATACCAACTAACAACAGAAAATTATACAAATAGTAGAAGAATTCAAGATAACATATTTTGAGTGTCAAACAAATAGAATATAATTTTTAAAATTTGCCTAATATTTTACTGTTCTCCCAGACCATTTGCTTCCCTACGTTATTCAATTCTCTAAGAAACCTTGATGAGTCTATTTTGTGTCACAGTCTAAGAAACTGGCCTTAAGAGTTATTGCATTCTTTGACCTAAGCTAGAATCAAGATTTTCTGACTCCAAATACTGTACTCTTTGCCTTTAGGCATAAATACTATAAGAGTGACTAATGACTAAATTATTTATAGAAAAGATATTTTGCCTAAATTGTCTAGGGAGTATTTTTTGAACATTGACTCCCCCAGCAGCTAATAACTGTCCCAAGAAATAGAGTTCCAAGGCCAAATAAGTTTGGGAATCACTGGGTTGAACAAATGTGACCAGGAGTTTTCTACTTCCTGCCAAGCTCTCAAAGCCTTTTAACTTACAATTTGAAGGCTCATATGGAGCCTATGCAGCATATCCCATACATCTGACCACAGAATTCTTTGATGATGGAGCCATCATCAGGAGTAGAGTGTGCTGAAACATGCCTGAGACAGGTTCTCTAGATAACAGCTCTCATTCTCCACTGCACCCTGGTCCCACTTTAGTCTATTCACTTTTTAGAGTACATTTCCCAGCTAATGTTGGGAACAACCAAATTCTCTAATATGCTTATGTAACTAAGATCAAATGGGACTTCCAGGAGATTTTTTTAAATTGCATTTATTTTTGAACTTAAATAAGAGCAGGACACATTCATTGCACCTGGAAGGTAGAAAATACAAACAGAAGAAAGAGAGGTGCAAATAAACTCACTTCTATTCAACCCCACAGGCATAGTCAACTTGTGACATTTACTACCACAGGGAGCTGCTGAAGCAGGGTAGAGCTGGATTTGAGGAAGGATTAGAAAATTTTATGAGCATGACTAGCATTTAAAGCTATGTGAGCTAGAACAAAAAAGATACAAGGAAATGAAGCCTCATGTTCCAGGATGTAAATTGATCACATATGGAAGGAGGGGCAAAAAAGGAATTCCCACCTCACAATCCAGTGTGGGATATTACACAATGGGCCAGGTGCAATAGGCTTGATTTTCTCTCTTTATTTTCCTTTTCCTTTTCTCTGGTACATCTGATTCTGGCTAAACAGGAGGTGGGGATATTAGCCCTGACAAATAGCGATTTGATCCCACAGGGCAACTCCTATTGAAAACCAAGATAACACAAATATTTTCAATTCTTCAAGTTGAACCTAGACGAAGTATTTTGTTTTGTGGGTGATCCCTCTGTTCTTTTATTAAGAGAAGATTATTTTATGAGAGCTAAGAATATTTGCATTCCCAGCATTTAAAATTTTCAACCAACACATTGTTCAAGCAAATAAAAAGAATCAGAGGGTTTCTGCAAGGTAAAGTAAGATCATCTTAATTAGTTGAGACTCTTGAGCAAAGATGAATCCAGTCTTGAAGTACTGGCTCTTTCAAAATACTCCTTTTACCTTAAACATAAAAGTAAAATGTGTTTTTGAGCTGCAGTATTCTGAGCTTGGTGATGATTGAAGGCCTTGGAAGAGGGAATGGCAGATTTTATTGGGCTGGGTGGGTTCTCACCCGCCATCTCTCCATGGGAAATTTTGTGAAAATATTCAACCCTAATGGTTCAGTGAAAAGCATTTGGGCCCCAGGGAATCAACGGGAGCTAAGTTTTATAGAGTGAATCCCATCTGGGACTAGAAGAATTAAGAAACAGAACTATGGGAGACAGACAACAAGAGGAATAGCAAAACCAGCCCCATGGTACAAAAAGTTAGCCTTTCATTGTATAACCAGTGCTATGATTTCTTGCATTAAGATTACAAGAATAGTCAGATCAGAGATTGTGGGCTTTTTTTACTATAGGATTTTAGTTGACCCTTTCTTCAACTATGAATTCTTTGGTTGGGTACAGCCCTGAATCCCAATATGAACCCTAAATGTCATTTGCTTTGGGAAGGATTTTTCCTGTTGGTGCTCAGCAATCTTGCTGAACTTGTGGCAATGGTTGTTTATACCACATTGACTACTCCATTCTCTTATCCCTTCCTCCCTAGCATAGCCCACTTCTCATGATAAACTTTTCTTTAAGACGAAGTCTTCCTCTGTTGCCCAGGCTGGACTGCAGTGGCATGATCTTGGCTCACTGCAACCTCTACCTCCCGGGCTCAAGCAATTCTCCCAACTCAGCCTTCCAAGTAGCTGGGATTACACACATATGCCACCGTGTCCAGATAATTTTTGTATTTTTAGTAGAGACAGGGTTTTGCCACGTTGGCCAGGCTGGTCTCAAACTCCTAATCTCAAGTGATTCGCCCACCTCAGCTTCCCACATGAACCACACTGTACCTGGCCTCTAAAACTTAAAATTCCAAATAGGATACAGTTTTCCAGCCTTACCTTGCACCTAGAATTGGCTGTGTGACTCAGTTCTGGCCATTTCTGGCTTGGAGAATGCTAGGAAATATTTTCTTTCTCGGATAAAAGGAGAGAGAGATGGGAAGAGAGTTGTGTTTTTCTGTTTGTTTGTTTGTTTGCTCGCTTATTTGTTTTTCTGGCTATCCCTTCTTTGTCTTTCATGTAATGGGGAAAGAATGTGATATTTGGAACTATAGCAATTATATTGTGACCATGAGATGAAAAACCTGAGGATCAAAGGCACCATGGTAGCACTGACAAAATGAAAGGGGAGAAAAATCTTGAGTTTGTAATGATATCACTGAGCCCCTACTACAACAAACCTGGGACCATGAGCCTGTTGGTTTCTTGTTGAAGTGCCTTTTAGATGGATATTCTATTACAGCCCAAAGCCTTCTGTTTAACATATCCAGTGAAAAGGTGGCTATGTATTCCAGTAGAGCACAGAACCCCAGAGAAACACACAGCCTGTGACTTCTGGTCATCTCCAATCACTGATACTCCCTGATGTAGACTGGCACATTACTCTTGGAAAAAATAGCAAACCAGGGGTTTGCTGGATGGTTGTCTGAGAATTCATTGGCTAATGTCAGAGCCTAAGGTTATGAACACACTCATCACTACTAAGAAGCAGCAATCCTGTAGGCTTCAATTCAACATGAGAAAGAAAAGGATTTTGCTCCAAATTCCACACAAGGTTTCTTTCCCTCTTGTTCTCATTTCCCACAATCTTACCCTTTTCTTTGTGCCTTACTTTGGCTTCAGAAAACCTCCTTTACCTTTTCATTTTGCCAATTCTGATGTTACTTAATTCTTCAATATGGTAAAGCAATAAAAAGAAAGCTGGCTGATGAACTCAGAGCAGCGCCAAAAATGTATGTTTGGAATGTCAGGACATGCTCTATTGAATAAGCAGAAATTTAGTTAAGCTCCAAAGGAATCTAACCATCTCCCCTCCCCCACCACCAGTGCCTAAAGTTCACATCCTCTGATGACTAACGCCTTCCATCCTCTGAAAACGGTGCCTTCCCAGACTGGCATATCTTCTAGTCTGCATATCCTAAACTACAAATTCAATACTACCAAATGACTGGAAATGGTACAACTCAAAAGACAGGAAGAAATTCTGCTCTATGGGAACCCATTCAGTTTTTTTTTTTAGCTTCTTTATTTCGAAAGTTTCCATCCTGATTTCCCTTCTTGAGAAGTTTTCATTATACATGAGAAGGGAATTATGATGTGTGTCATGTTTTGTAACTTAGCTAATTTGAAGATATACCCTTTTTCTTTTACATCTGTTAAATTTTTTTTTAAGAAAATTGTCTTATACTTTAAGTTCTAGGATATATGTGGAGAACATGCAAGTTTATTACATAGGTATACATGTGCCACGGTGGTTTGCTGCACCCATCAACTTGACCATCCTGAGCTTAAAGCCCAGAATCGGAGCTGATGAGTAACCAAGGAATTCAGATTTTAGTACTGAAAATAGTGTATATGAAATTCCGTTGTTCCGGAGGACAAAAATTTAGCATTCATAGCTGAAGTGTGTAAAAGGAAAAAAAGTCTGCCAGAAAAATGCTTTTTGCAATGCTATGAGGATCTGCTCTAAATGGTGCTTCATGTGTAAGGGACTTGGTGTGATGTGTGTTGTGTTTTGGTTTTTGGGTTTCGTCTGGAGGCTTTTTTGCTTTTGTTTCTCAGATCAACGAAAAAAGATTTGCCTGAAAATGAGCTGGAGTGGTTCTCCCCAGCCTGATGTGCTTCTGGCAACCAGTGTGGGCTGCTCAGTGATTGCTCCTTCATTTCAGGTGGTAATTTACCAAATGCCACCTTTCTTCTGTATTACACAGGCATGGTCAAACATAGTCACCACTCGAAATGTTGAGAAGCTTCCTGTCCCCATTAAACAGAGAGAGCAACCCTCGGTAGTTCAACAATGAAGCCTCCAATAGCTGAGAAGTCTAACTGTGATTTATGATTCCTTACCTATAAAGATTATAGACAACTCAGGAAGCTTTCCGAGTCTCTTAGTCCTCTGCTTCCAAGTAGAAGTAGTAACAATGGCAACCTTCCCTCACGAGATTATAAGAAGAAATGATTATCTGAATTGATTATAAAAAGATGCTCCACATTATTCATCATTAGGGAACTGCAAATTAAAACAACAAGGAGATACTGCAACACACCTATTAGGATGGATAATATCCTAAACACTGACAGTACCAAATGGTAGCGAAAAAGCCACTCTCCTTCATTGCTGGTAGAAATGTAAAGTGGTCCAACCACTTTGGAAGACAGTTTGGCGTTTCTTAAAAATCTAAACACATTTTTATCATATCATTCTGCAGTCATGCTCCTTGATATTTTCCCAAATGTGTTGAAAACTTAGGTCCACACAAAATCCTGCATACAAGAGCTTATAGCAGCTTTATTCATAATTGCCAAAATTTAGAAGCAACCAAGGTGTCCTTCAATAGGTGAATGGATAAATAAACTGTAGTATATTCATACAATGGAATAGTATTGAGCACTTAGAAAAGAAAAAGAGCTATTAAGCCACAAAAAAGACATGAAGGAAGCATAAAGGCATTTTACTAAGTGCAAGAAGCCAAACTGAAAAGGCTAGGGACTGTATGACTCCAACTCTAAGAGGTAAAATTATGGAAGAGGTAAAATTATACAGAGTAAAAAGATCAGTGTTTGCCAGGGTTTGGGGAGGACAGAAGGAGGGATTAATAGATGGAACACAGGGGATTTTTAAGCCAGTGAAACTATATTGAATGATAACTGGAAGGGTAGCTACATGTCACTATAGATCTGCCAAAACCCATAGACTATACAACACAAAGAGTGACTCCATATGTAAACTGTGGACTTTGGTCACAAAGAGTGAACTGTAATGAAAATTATGGACTTTGGTTGAAAGCGATGCATCAATATTACTTCATCAGTTGTAACAAAACATAGTGTGACATGTTGGTGGTGGAAGGGGCTGAATGTGTGTCTGGGGAGGTTTATGTGGAAACTGTACTTTCTGCTCTATTTTCCTATGAGCCTAAAACTTGTAAAAACATGAAATTTATTAATTAAAAATAGATACATTAAAAAATCTAAATAAAAGTTATGAAGCAGAAAGTGAATATACTTATATAAATTAATAAAAATAATTGTTTAATGTATGCATTAGAATTAAGTTCAGTTGTACACAGCATGAAAAATAACAAAAAAGGTTTGGACAAGATAGAATAATATTTTTCTCATGTATGTAAAATATGCCTAAAAGTAGGCAGTCTGGAGCTGGAATGGTGACTCCACAGAGACTCTGTGGACCAAGGCTTCTGGCTTTGCTGGGACTCCCATCTCAGCATCTGACTCCCATCTCTTGGTCTGAGAACTCCAGCCATTACATCTGCATTCTAAACAGCAGAGAATGAGGAAGGAGGAAATACTGGCATGCCTCCTCCCTTAAATGGTGACTTACAGGAAGTTTCATATTATATTTCTGCTTTGATCTTATTGGTCAGGTACTTAGACAAATGGTTACATCTACCTGTGAAGGAGTCTAATAATTTTTTTACCTATTGAATTTACACAAAACTTAAAAAAATCTACAGAGAGGTTCAGCTAAAAATCAGGGCTCTGTTTCTAAATAAAAAGAAAGAAAGGAATATTGGAGTAGGCAGCTAGCAGTCTGAGACTTTGAGCTACTGTTGCTGTGTTAAAAACACAGTGCTACAGGCAAAGGATGCAAGAATACATTAGATCAATAGGAGAAATAGACATGCAAGCACACGGCTATTAAATATGGTGGCAGTTTGTTAGTGGCATGAAGATTTCAGAAGAGAATGTGAGTATGCCCAGCTGGGGTTGATCAATGAAGCCCTCCTAGAGAAAAGGATATTTTACAAAGACCAAGAATGATGAAGAGAATTTGAACAGTAAGAGGTGGTGGAAAAGAAGGCAAACTTGGAATAGGAAATGACACGAAAGAAAGCAAATTGTTATTTGATAAAGAGGACTATGCCTGTTATTGGTGCATTTCATAGTCTACACAGATACAGAAAGTGCCTAGGCAGGAGGAAGTTTATGTCTGTAGTTTGGCCATGTACCCAAATGACATCAGTTTCTCTCTTCACAATCTGTCCACCATTCACATGGGGTGGGAGGTGAGGAAGAATTCCATTCAACAACACGCACTTAGAGTATCTCAGGCAAAGAGACTTTTCTTCTTTTGTATTTATGATAAAACACCCAAATATGTATCCAAGTGGGATTACCAGCCTGGATTGGATCCAAGAGACTTTGGTTACTAGAACTATTTCTCATCATAAATCCCCAAACAAGTTGAGTTTTTCACTTCCTCTCTTAATCTGCCATGGAGCACAGCCGAGTTGCTTGAAGTCATCTACTTCTTGGCAGTGGCTACAATTCCAGGATGATGGAACGATTCTTTTCCATATACATCATTATTATTTCTAGTATAAATATTTATCAAGCACTCACTGTGCAATAGAGAAGAGCTCCTGCTTGGTGGTCTTTCCAGCTGAACAAAAACAAACATGAGGAGAGGTCGAGGGAAGAGGTGGGAAGAGAACCTCAGCTGGTGGGAAACAATAGGAATCACTTCCCCACCCCAGCTCCTTTTATACGTGTCGGATGTTATTTGGACTTGACTGCCATATTTCAAATATGTAAAATGTGTTTTTATTTGTTTAACATTCGCTTTAAAGGGCTTACCATGTGCTGTGCACAGTTCTAAGCTCTTTACAAATATTAACACATTTAATCGTCATAGAATCCTGTGAAATAAGTTGTACTATTATCCTGATTTGCAGATGAGGAAACCGAGGTATAGAGTAATTTGCCCAAGGTTGCTCACTGGGCACAATGACTCTAGAGCAACACTGTCCAGTAGAACTTTGTCTGATGTCAGAAGTGTTCTGTATTTGTGCTGCCCAATAGTGGACACAGTAGCTGTTGAGCACTTGAAATGTGGCTTGTATAACTGACAAACTGAACTTTTACTTTCACTTAATTTTAATTAATTTCAGTTTAAGTAATCACTTGTGACTAGTGGCCATCATAACCAGTGCTGTAGTGAAAGTCCATACTCTGTATCACTGTGCTGTGGTTCTCTTTGCTTTGTGTTTTGTTTGTTTTTCAGACAGGGCCTTGTTCTGTCATCCAGGCTGGAATGCAGTGGCCATTACCTTGGTTCATTGCAGCCTGGACCTCCTGGGCTCAAGGGTTCATCCCTTCGCAGTCTCTCAAGTAACTGGGACTACAGGCATGCACCACCACCCTAGGCTAATTTTTGTATTTTTAGTAGAGACGGGGTTTGTCTGGTTAGGCTGGTCTCGAACTCCTGAGCTCAAGTGATCCGCCCAGCTCAGCCTCCCAAAGTGCTGAGATTACAGGTATGAGCCACCATGCCCAGACTGCCTTTCATTCCTTTCCTCTCCCTTTCTTCCTCCCTCCCTCCTTCTTTTGTCAATCTCTTTCTCTCTTTCCCTTCCTTCCTTCCTTCCCTTTCTTTCTTTCTTTTTCTTTTTCTTTCTTTCTTTTCTTTCTCTTTCTTTCTTTCTCTTTCTTTCTTCTTTCCTTCCTTTCTTTCTCTTTCTTCTTCTTTCTTTCTTTCTCCTTCCTTCCTTGTCTTTCCTTCCCTTCCCTTCCTTTCTCTTCTCTTCTCTTTTTCTTTTCTATTATTTTTCTTTCCTTTTCTTTGTCTTTCTTCTTTTTGAAGGAGCAAGGGCCAAGAATACAGAGATTCTTCTGTAAAACAGCAACCCTTCCCAGTGCATTTGCTGTTTAATTATGATAAACAATGTGAAATATAAGTTTATAGAAGAAAATGAGCAAATTACTCAGGTAGTGCCAATCTTTATTCCCTGGCTATTAAATAGGACTACAATAAAGCTCTATCGCCAATGTAAGTTTTCTCATAATTAGTAGTAGATGAGGAGGTCAAAGGGGAGAAACCAAGGGCTGGTTAGGTCATGCATATTTGGTAGCACAGTTGCGTTATTAAAAGCAAAAGGCAACATTATAGTATCTGTTGCCTGCTTGGGAAGATGAAAAGCAGGACAAGGTCATGTTTGTCATTCTGCTGTCATCAAGACTGGCACTCCCTCTTTTCTCTCTTTCCCTCTCATCTTAATGCATCTCTACTTTACTCAACTTTCATGGTTAAACTCAAATTCCACTTCTTCCTTGAAAAGTGCCCCCTGTTTCCATGTGAAAGCAACAATACGACTGTATCTTACTTCTGGTATTTAATAGGTTCTATACTATGTAATAGCTAAGTAAGTACAAATCCTAACTCTCCTACTTACTCTCAACTCTTAAAGGTCTGATTTCTATTTGTATTAATTTTCTGTAAAACTTCATACAAGCTTGGGCAACACAGTGAATGAGACCCTTTCTCTAAAAAAAAAAAAAAAATGTTTTTAATTAACCAGGTGTGGTGGCACACACCTGTGGTCCCAGCGAGGCTGAAGCAGAAGGATCAAGAGGTCAAGACAGCAGTAAGCCATGTTCATGCCACTGCACTTCAGCCTGGGTGACTGAGTCAGATGCTCACATTTCATAGATTATTTTAACTTTCATCTTTGTTTCCCCATTTCTAGCATGCACTTCTATGATAGCATTAACTGTATTGTATTGCAAAATTTCATGATCATATCTCTCCCCAAGACTGTAAGCCCTTTTAGAGTAGTACTTACTTTAAAACAGATGCTCTATAATTGGCAAATATTTTCTGAATGAATGGTCATTCTCAGAAATTTGCAATATATGTAGTATGTTTGTCTTTTGTCTAAAACAAAATGGAACCCTCCTCCAATGAAACTCTTCTATATTAGTATTAGATTAAGCATTAGGTAACATCAAACTAACTTCACCATTTTATAATAGCCCTGCTGTAGGGAAAGACAATGCATAAATGTCCTAGAGAATCAGTACATTTTCGGCCAGCTGCGGTGGTTCATACCTGTAATC